AAAAAAAAAAAAAAGCCATAAATAGATTTTGCGCATTTTTAAATTGCTTAAAAGCTCAGAACACCTGGAAGTTAGTACCTGTACAATGGAGTAGGAGCCTATTGAGTCAATTTCCCATTTGGGTTGGTTTAAGGAAAGATGGAGCAGTTATCTTTTAAACAGTGGTAGTGGTGGGTAAGCTCTATGAACTACACAGAGACCTCTGAGGATTGCATCCAACTATCAACGTATATACTTTGGTGGTTATGGAAGGCGAGGAACATGTGGGTTTTTGAAAAGGTCTGGCAACCAGAATGGTGGATAATCAAAATGGCAATGCAGGAGTGGCTGGAATATAAAAGCTGAATGCTGGGAGCTACAAGAGGGGAGTTAAGCATGCACTAGGTCTTGTGTCAGTAGTGTCATGCTTTCTCTTTTCTCTTTTAGTATGATTGTTAGTATGAATTGTTATGTTTGTAACTAGACTTGTGATTCCTGATTTCTGCTCTGTGTTTATGTACTAATTATGGTCATGCTGTGTGGCTACTAAGATTGGTAGTAGTTTAAGACTTTAAGTGCAAGACAATAGTTTCGATTAGGTTGCATGTGTGTGTAACCTCCCAATGTATGTGGATTGGGACTTGATCCTATGTACANCCAGAGGCCCGAAGCTACTATACTAGGACTCGTCGAGGATAGGCTACTCCACGTATGTCGTGGTCAATCCATGCTCCTAACCCTGGGGGGGTGACGATATTCTTTGCAAGCCCAACGGGGAGGAAGCAGCTAAGTCTGCCATATGATCAGCCGCAAAATTTGCCTCGCTGTGCACATGCACAATCCGAATGATCCATTGTTTCTGCATCAAACTTCGAATGGCTCGGACTAGAGACTCGTTAGCACCAAAGTTATCCTCTGAGCCCAGAACCATTTTTGCCACATATTGGCTATCAACTTCAGCCACAACCTGCCGGAATCCAAAATCCCATGCCATCTGTAGGCCCTGAAACAAACCCCACAGCTCGGCTCCGGTAATGGTGCAAATTCCAATATTCATGGAAAAACCTTCAATCCATCTATCAAGGTCATCCCGAATTAAACCACCCGCACTACACAACCCCGTGATGCGGCTAGTGGCCCCATCTGTATTCACCTTGACCCATCTCGGATTCGGCGGGTACCACTGTATCATGCGGAGGGTGTGTACTGCCGCTCCGGCCCTCGCGTAAGCCATCGCCGCCTTCGCATAAGCCTCCGTTTTGCGGAGGATGTCGAGGAAGCGCGTTTCACAACTCAGATTCCGGTTGTTGAAGATACGGTCATTCCGCCATTTCCACGCACTCCAAAAAGCAAATGCAAAGGTGTTGGTCTAGCTCCTGTATAGACCCATATTCACTCGGCGTAAGTTGGTCTGCAGCCAATCTTTAAGAGGCAGGTGGAAGAAATCTCCATTAGCACTAGATGGGAGTAGCTTATATCACGTGGTTTTGGTTATCGGGCAATCTCTCAACACATGCAATGTTGTTTCGGGCACTCCGCAAACATCACAATTCGTCGAAGCCGATATATGCCGCCTAATCAGCTCGCTATTGGTTAGGAGTCGGTCCTTAGCTGCCAATTTGGTTTGAATCAATGAGAAGTTATGTCGTTGGAAAAAAAAAAAAAAAAAATTGCTTAAAAATATAAATTTTACAATATATATATCATACTCATTTTTCACATAAAATCCACTCGAGCAGTACAATTCACGGCGCGCCCTATGATCGACCGACCACGGGAACTAATGTCCGACTCGAAACCGTCACAATCTCACCTGGACACCACCGCCCTCCACCGCGCCGCTCTCTGCTCCCTCTCCCTTCCGCCCCAACCGCCGCCCAATGACCCCGTCACCCCTCCGCCTGCCGCCTTACCCCACAATAAACTCATCCCCAGGACCCGCTTCGTAGTCGACGGCTTCAAACACGCCGACTCTAAATTTTCCGTCTCCTATTTCCTCTCCCACTTCCACTCCGACCACTACACCGGCCTTACCCCGCAGTGGGCCAAGGGCATCATCTATTGCTCATCCGTAACTGCTAATCTCCTTAAGGAAATCCTCAAAATTCCTCAGCCGTTGATTTATCCCTTGCCTCTCTCCCAGCCCATGCTGATCGATGGCTCGGAGGTTTGGCTCGTGGACGCTAATCATTGCCCAGGCGCAGTTCAGTTCTTGTTCAAGGTCCCCGTAGATAGTGAAGCCGTTGTGGGGTTCGAGAAGTATGTGCATACTGGCGACTTCAGGTATTGTGCTGAAATGAAGAATGAAGCTGCAATTTCTCATTTTATCGGTGCTGATGCTTTGTTTCTAGATACGACTTATTGTAATCCCAAGTTTATGTTTCCGAGTCAGGAGGAGTCAATAGATTACATTGTTAGTGTGATTGAGAAATTGGGGGTTCAGAACGAGGGTGAGGATGGTAAGAATGTGTTGTTTCTAGTTGCTACTTATGTCATTGGTAAGGAGAAGATTTTGATGGAGATTTCTCGACGGTGTAAGAGGAAGATTCATGTAAGCAGCAAAAAGATGGCCGTTTTGCATGCTTCGGGTTTGGTAGAAAGTGGGGTGTTTACGGAGGATGAGTCGGAGAGTGATGTTCATGTTGTTGGTTGGAAAGTGTTGGGTGAGACTTGGCCCTACTTCAGACCGAATTTCGTGAAGATGCAAGAGGTTATGAGCGAAAGAGGTTATTCGAAGGTTGTGGGATTTGTCCCCACTGGATGGACATACGAAGTGAAGCACAATAAGTTTGCTGTGAGGACCAAAGATTCATTTGACATTCATCTTGTTCCTTACAGCGAACATTCGAACTATGATGAGCTTAGGGAGTACGTGAGGTTTTTGAAGCCAAAGCGTGTTATCCCTACAGTTGGTGCTGATGTCGAGAAAATTGATAGCAAACATGCCAATGCAATGCAGAAGCATTTTGCTGGATTGGTGGATGAACTGGCTGTTAAGAAAGAATTCTTGATGGGTTTTCTTCGTGGTGGAATTGGGGCAATTGATGTGGGAGAAAAGGATTCTTCTCTTGTCTCGGACAAAATTACAGATAAAGAGGCTGAGGACACTTTTTCTGCATCAAATTGTGAGTGTGATGTTGAACTGGAGAAAGAGAGGAAACTGTCATGTCCTCAAGAGGAACCCTCTTCACGGGATTCAGAAGACTTGAACAAAAATGATTTGGAGAAATCTGTAAAGGAACTGCAAGACTGTTTGCCCAGTTGGGTCACCCTATGCCAGATGTTAGAGCTACTTAGCAGTTCTGGTGGAAATGTAGTCGAGGCAGTTTCTAATTTTTATGAACATGAAACGGAGTTTCATGAACGGGTTGTTCCCAGTACATCTATCCCCTTCAGTTCCCAAGAAACTTCAGAAAACCACCCACCTTTGGCTTTTGAATCCCGTCCAGTTGCGAGCATAAACCAGCCCACGTGTGTTTCTCTCAGTCAAAGCTTCAAATTGTCTAATTGTAGTAATAAGAGTGGGAAATCTCCAGTGAAAAGGAAGGGAATTTCTGGTGGCAAGGGAACGAAGAAAGCAAGAGCAGATTTAACACAGATTGGTTCAAAGCAGCATCCTATAACTAAGTTCTTTAACAAAAAAATGCAGGTCATTTCTGAAGATTGTGAAGTTGAAGTTAAATTGAATAATTTTCGTGATGAGCAAAGCAAGTTCCATACTGAAGCTATAAACTTGTACAAGGATGAGGTAGACCAGTTTATTCAAATCGTAGACGGTGGTGAATCATTAAGAAGCTATGCCACCAGCATTCTTGAGAAGACCAAGGGAGACATTAATATGGCTCTGGATACATATTATAATGATCGTTCTGGTAAATCTGACAGCAATTTGTCGGACAGTGATAAATTAGATTCTGCATGTACCAGTGGAACTTGTTCTCTGGACAGAGATGCTGAACAACTTAAGAGCAATAAACTTGAGATCAAGTCTGATATTTCCTTCCCTGCTTCAAGACATGACGAACCCTCTGCAAATTTTATATCACTTCCTCCCGAAAGATATTTCCCTATTGAGCATGGTTGGTGAACATAGGTTCTTGTCATTTGATTGAAAATTTTCATTTTCATCTTTGTCATTGCTCTTTGTTTATTGCTGAGACTTTTACTCAGCTTGCTGGAGGAAAGGGCAGCTTGCTCCTTACATCCATATAGCGCGCACTTTAGATTTAGTTGAAGGAGAAAAGGGAAAGCTAAAGGCTATATCAATGCTGTGCAATATGTTTAGGAGGTCTGCTTTTGAGGCATATCACGTCCCCTTTAAGTCATCTTTTATATCCAGCTTGAATTTCATTAATATTTCCGCTTTCCAAGTTTAGGTAAAATGTTAATATCATGTCACTTATGGTTAACTTTAATTATGCAGTTTGTTGGTTCTTTCACCTGAGGATGTACTACCTACTGTGTATTTGTGTACGAATAAAATTACCCCTGAGCATGAAAATGTGGTAATATTTCGTTCCACCTTGCTTCTTT